TGTGATCTCCGTCTCTTTATGCTGCGGTCTGAAAGCAGGAGCTCAGCTCCCTAATTGCCCCATATGCTGGTTTTATTTGGTGGCTCAGCTGGGTGGAGTGAACTCGGGGAAGAAAGCATTCATTTTTAGTTACTTCACCAGATTGTTAATTTTCACTCTGGAGGCATAAATCACCATAATTACTGTAATCCCAGAATGAAAGGGCCTCTATTCTGATACAAGGGCAGCAGCTATCGCTACCAGCATAGCTGTTCTACCTGAGGCCCAGGGCTTGGAGAACTGGGGAAGGAGCCGCATATGGCTGGCTCTGCCAGAACCCTCTAATATTTGGGATGCAGGGCACGCTGAGAACCCATTGTCCTGGAGGAGCAGCCTTTTCTGTGTTAGTGGCAAGAGTCCATGGCTTAAGCCAGACTATTGGCCCTGGGCTCCCAGGACAGCTGTTTACATGCTTGGCTTGCAAACAGGACGTCAACAGAACTTCAGAACCGGAACATCAGCCCTCTTCTCTCTCCCTTGTTCCTATCAGCTCACTTCTTTGTTTGGCTTGGTTCTCATTTTTGCATCTCTCCTGAGGAAAGCTTTAAAAAAGTTCCAGAAGAATTACCTCAAACAGAAACCAGAGACTACAAAAATACCTGGTTCCCCAGGGTGGGGTCTAAACATTAATATCATGAGAGAGAAGAAAAATCCCAATGTAACTTGTTACTTTGTCATCCATCCTTGTAATATGGATTGTACAAGCTTTCTTTTTAAAGAAGACTAACTAAACTAAGCCTAAGAAATACCAACGAGATTCTGTATCAGGGTCACTTAAAAACGGGTAACTTGTAAATAAATTTGTGAAAATTCCTCACCATTATCACAGAAGGTGGAGAGGCAGAGATGGGGAAATAGCATTCTCTTGACGAGTTCACATCCTAGCGAAGTCAGGGTGCCTGGCTTTGTTTCTGTTTTTGCCTGACATTGTAAAGACAGTCTTAAAGTGAGGGAGAAAGAGGAAACTTGACGGTAACAAAAAAGACAAAGCCTGCCGAGGAGGAACATTTCTTTGCCTAATACCGTAAAGCCTTGGAGAATTGAGAGCCCAAAGCATCCATTAGTGCTGATGGCAGGTTGATGGCCTAAGAAGAGAGGGAATTTGGGGTCAGGGAGGTTTTGTGCAAAATTGAGGCTGTGCTTGGCCATTAGAAGATAAGGCAGACAAATAATGGATTGCAACAGGATAAGTTGCCCTGTGAGATCCACACACACACATGCCCGCCCCTGGCTGCCCTCAGATGACAGGGGACAGATCTGCTTTGTTTTGTTTTTTCTAATCACCTGCCCCCATGTTTAGGCAGCAGAGAGACCTAAGTTATAAACACAGCTCTGTCAGGAGCTCCCTTGGCCAAGTGTGGCATTTAGAATATTCTGGTTCTTTCTTGATGTTTTTCACTACCTTTCAGATTCCTTCATGACCCTTTCCAAAACCTGCCACGTGCCTGGGCACAAGGTAGATGTTCAATACAAATTTGATAAGTTGGTTCAAATTCAGAGAATTTGGGGGGAAAGTCAAAGAGTGAAAAAAGACGGCGTTTCCCTTTCTCTGGGGTCCTGTGCCCAGCGGTGAGGGCCATTCTCACCAGTGCCCTTAGGATGGTTCCCAGGCTCTGTGCTTGGGTCAGGGCCCCAGTGGAGCAGTGAAGAAGGGTCCATTTTTCTGAAGTCTCTGCATGAATGACAATGACAGCTGGGCGGCAGTCGCATGTTAGAAGCAAATCATTCTGATTTTGCCTTCTAGAGCAGAGATATCTTCCCTAAGATTCCAGTTTTACCCCAGCAGAAAAAGCCAGGGCTGTCTCGACTGCAGCAACATTATTATGTTTTGGTAACAGGAAGCCCAGTGATTTTTCTTACCAATTTCCCTGAGGATGCTACCTTTCAGGTACACATACTTAGATTATGTCTACCCTTTCCCACCCAACCTAGGCTTGCTAAGGTTCAGTACTTTCTTCTCTGCTTGCTACCTCACCTCAGCCCCTAAGTTCTTACCCAAATGCCAGGAACTGGGACCAGTCTCTGGAACAGAGCAGAAATAATGTGGGAATTGGGGGTAGAGCTGAACACATATATCGATCTAGGAACAGACAGGAAAGCAACACCCTTGTTACTACAAGGAGAGTGGTGGGAAATAATTTCTTAGCCATCATGGGTAGTGGTGTGGGTAGTGATCGAGTATAAGGTATTTGTGGAAGTAAATTATTTACTGGGCTATATTATCAATGGCTATGTTAAAGGGCCACATGGAGGCTGTCCAAGGAAAGTCACACAATGAGTAATTAGTATTCGACATATTAAAAATATATATATTCTATCCAAAGGACAGTTAGAATACATTTACTTTCCAACTGCATTTGGTTCAGTGTCTCTTATCGGGAGAGAGAGTAGGAGGACTTCATGTGCATCTGTGTTTGGGCTGTCAAATTATCTGTATCTATATATTTATTTTCCTTTGTCTTCAAAAAAATTCCTGGTGTTACAGGCAATAGCTGTATTGCATAAACTGTCACTTCTGAAAATGTGCAGTTAATGGCATACTTGAATATAATTTAATACGTTTTGCTTTTAATATTTACTATTGAGATATATGTTCAATAATTTCCAAGTAATTCTAAAAGTTCTGACAGTATTTATTGCTACTACTATTACATGTTATGATTCTACAGCCCCTTTTCTGACAGAGCTTTTAAAACAAAACAAACTCCATATCAGCTCTCCCTTCCAATTAAATACTGGAGGAAAGCAGAATAGAAATATGACTTTCGAAAGGCAAAGAGGCACAGAGAAACGAGGTCAAGCGGAATAAGTCCCTGAAGTCCTAACTCCAAGCTGGCAAGTTGAACACGTCAAATCAAGTGCTGGGTTTTCCATTCCATTCATGGGAAGGAGGAAGAGAAAGGGGAGGGCAGGGAAGAACTCAGAGGGTACAGTCCTAGGAATCTGCAAACGTGGAGTCCTTGGAGGCAGTGAGAACAACTGCTTAGATTTTCTCCTCCTGCCATTCTTTAGTCCTTGGTGAGATGTTGGAGAAGCAGAGTCCAAAGGCATGTCAGTGTCACATGGCTGAAGCAAGAAGCAGCAGAAGAGTCAGATTTCCTCCCCTTTTTAAATTTAATTTAATTTTTTTTTTTTTTTTTTTTTTTGAGACAGAGTCTCACTCTGTTGCCCAGGCTAGAGTGCCATGGCATCAGCCTAGCTCACAGCAACCTCAAACTCCTGGGCTCAAGCCATCCTCCTGCCTCAGCCTCCCAAGTAGCTGGGACTACAGGCACGCGCCACCATGCCCGGCTAATTTTTTCTATATATATTTTTAGTTGTCCAGATCATTTCTTTCTATCTTTTTATTAGAGATGGGGGTCTCGCTCTTGCTCAGGCTGGTCTCGAACTCCTGAGCTCAAATGATCCACCCGCCTCGGCCTCCCAGAGTGCTAGGATTACAGGCGTGAGCCACCGCGCCCGGCCATGGTTTCCTCCCCTTTTGATTGGGGAGCCACTCACTTTGGGGCACCTCCAGTCCCTTATTTATCACAGACCACTGTGGTGTGGGAAATCCCCACGACAAAGGAAAAAGGGACTTGAAGAAGTTGGGAGACCTGAGCTTATGACCTTGGGTTCACAGCAATATTTGGGGGAACAAGTTGTGAGAGGACTGAGGGTACTGGAATCAGGAAAACTGAGGGTTGAGAAGGAGGTTATCACAAGAGAGGCGGCAGGTGGCTCTGTGGGGTCCCAGACTGACCACTGTCTTGGCCTTGGGATATAACAATAACTGCCATTTGTAATGTGCCTACTGTGTGTCAGGCTCCTTGCATAGTTAGTTATCTATTTAGTTCTCACCTAAACCCAGTTACAGTAACATTATCCCAGTTTACAGATGAGAAAACTAAGGCGCCAGAGATTAATTTGCCCAAGGCCACCCAGCTGGATAGTTTCCTCATCTGTAAAATGAGAGCAGTTAGTCCATCACCTGCTGGTTTGTCAAAAGTCGCTTGAGATCCGACAACAGAAGCCACGAAGAGGCGAGCCCGGGGAATATGCGGATCCACAGCAAAGCCAGTTTTGCTTTTTCCAGATTTGCGTTAAGGTGTTCTCAAGTCTTCTAAAAGCGCAGGCGTGGGCGGTTCTCGACTGCCTCCGGCGTCCCTTGCGCAGGCGACGGTCGCCCTCTGCCGACGTAGGGCGGGAGCGCGCTGAGAGGGAACGGGCCCGAGGGCGGGCGAAGATTTTCTTGCCTATAGAAGGCGCAAGTCGGCGTGCAGAGTAACCCGCTCTTGCCGTCCCTTCCATAAGCGCTTCCTGTCTGATCTCTATGATCCATCCAGTTGCGACGTGAGAAGTTTCTAAAGTTTTCAATTTACGGTAAACAAAAGAGGCGTGCGCCGACCCGGAAGTGAAAGCTAGAACCCGGCCAGAGTAGCTCCGAGCGCCGGCAGTGAGGAAGGAGGTCCAGGGAAAGTTGTAGCCATGGCAGTTGCTGTGGCCGTGGTCGGGGCCGTAATCGGGTCGGAGCCAGGCCCCGCGGAAGAACTTGCCAAACTCGAGTATCTCTCTTTGGTGTCAAAGGTTTGCACTGAGCTGGACAATCACTTGGGGATCAACGACAAGGATCTAGGTGAGCCTGGGGAGGTCTATGCGGCCTCTGGGCTTGGGACTGAGGAAAGTGGAGGGAGAAAAGGTTGATGGGCCGAGTGTGTGTGTCCGTGTGAGTGTCTCTCTGTCACAGACACCCGGGCCCAGGGAACCTGCGGCCGTGGCCTCTGCTTGAGAGCCCTCCAGGCCGAGCTGTTAGAAACCATTTCTCAGAGCTGTCAGCGAAGCCCGGAGCAGTCATCTCTGCTTCATTTTTCTTTTTTTTTTTTTTTTCAGCCTGAAATAATTAAACAGCTTTAACAACAACAGCGGTAGCCGCTGCGATGATGATGATAATGGCTGACGTTATTGGTTGCTCATTATGTGACTGATGTTATTCTTAATTCTTTATTTACACCGTCTTATTTGGTCTTCACACAACTCTGTAAGGTAGTAGTCAGCGTCTGTGCTTTTAATTGTGTTCTTGACCGTTCATGCTAAACTACCTTTTAAACACCAATCAGACGTTTTGGGACGGCTACATCTGGGGAACTCAGTCTGAGAAATAAGTCTAGTGTCCTAGAGGTAAGGCCATAGGCAGATGGAGTCCTTATGAAGGTAAACAGAGACGAATGGGATTCAAGGGTCTTAGTGGAGGGATTGACCCGTGATAGGTACAGAGATGCTTCATCTAAGATTGTAACAGGAGGGAGGACAGAGAATATGGTCGTAGATGCAAATGGGTTTAGAGATTGGTGGAAGATGAATTCTATTTTCTAAATGAAGGTAAAGTGAAATCATCAATTGAACGGATAGGAAGGGGCACGTGACAGAAGTGGTCAGGGAGGTTAGATGTGTGACCTTGGGTAAGATCCTTAGTTTCTTTGAAGCTGTTTTTCTCATCTGTGAAGTGCGATGATAGTATCTTCACAGGTGGTGCTTCCAAGTAGTGCTTAGGGAGATGCTCTGCAGCCAGTGTTTTTTAGTTCACTTTTCTCTTGCCTCCCAGTCAAGATGTACCTGTCCTGTATAATTTTTCCTGGGTGTCTCCCTCTTTGAGTTGATAATGAGATGATGTTAGTTTTGCTATGTGGATAATATGTTTCCTTCATTCAGCAAATATTAAGCTAGGGGACTAGGAATATGAACACAGC